CCCGTCCTGGAGTGGTCGGCACTACTGTAGGACCGCTCGACACCACTCCTAGAGTGCTAGGCACCCCTCCTGGAGTGCTCGGCACCGCCCCAGGAGTGCTCGGCTCTGTTGCTGGAGTGGTCGGTACCTCCTCTCCAGCGTCTCCACCACCGTGGATGATCAAGTACTCGACGACGAAGGTGCTGGTGAAGCCGCCAGCTTCCCCCGTGCTCGGACTATCCTAGTACTAGTCCGCCTTCTCGTCGAACACGACGTCGCGTGAGACAACCACCTTGCCTCCGTGTGAGTCATAGAGCCGGTATGCCTTGGTACCTTCCTCATAGCCTAGGAGCACCATCAGTGTGCTCCTGTCCTCTAGCTTGGTGAGGAACGGCTTTGTCTTCCTGACGTGGCTGATGCAGCCAAATTTCCGGAGGAAGGACACGCTCGGCTTGCGCCCATACCAAGCTTCGAACAGCATCACGCCCTTCAGGGCCTTGGTGGGCGCGTGGTTGAGGATGAACACCATTGTGGTCACCGCCTCACCCTAGAACCTTGCTGGCATGCTCTTGGCCTTCATCATGGATCAAGCCATGCCGAGCACCATTTGGTTCTGTCGCTCCACCACGTCATTCTACTGTGGCGAGTATGGCGCGGTGTGGTGTCGCACCACACCCTGATCCGTGTAGTACGCAGCGAACTCCATCGATGTGAATTCACCGCCACGATCAGTCCGCAACACGCGTAGCTTCTTGCCGCTCTCCGCCTCCACGCGCGCCTTGAACTTCTTGATCGCCTTCGCCGCCTCGTCCTTGCTCGTCAGGAGTTGCAGCCATATATAGCGAATGCAATCATCCACGAGCAGAAGGAAGTACCGCCGACCACTGTTTGTGGCTGGCGTGATTGGCCCACAGAGATCGCTGTGGACGAGCTTGAGAGCATCCGCCGCGTGATACTTGGCCGCCTTTGGGAACGGCAGCCTCCTCTGCTTCTCGGCCAGGCAGCTGTCACACAGCTCGCCTACGTGCTTGATGTGGGGCAGCCCTCGGACCATCTTCTCCAGCCGACCGAGCGCGTCGAACCTGAGATGGACGAACAGGGCATGCCACAGCCACGGCTCCTTGGTGTGCCATGCTGCCAGGCACACCGGCTGCTCCACCTTCAAGTCGAGCAGGTACAATCGATTTCATGAGCATTTTACCTTCACGAGAAGACGCCGCTCCCGATCCTGAATCTTCAGGATCCCACTCTTGATTAGTACCTCGTATCCGCGCTCGTCCAGCTGCCCGATGCTGACGATGCTTGAACGCAGCTGTGGGATGTAGTACACATCCGTCAGCGCACGGTGCTCATCGTTCTGGCACCTGAAGATAATGGTGCCGCGCCCTCGGATCGCCACCCTAGAGCCATCACCGAACTTCACCGTGCCGGTCACGTTGCCGTCGAGCTAGGAGAAGGCTTCCTTGGAGCCCGTCATGTGGTTGCTGGCGCCGGAGTCTAGGTACCACCACTGCTCCTGTCCATCGCCCACACATCCGAGGTGGACTTGGGCGCGCGGTTCATCGAGGTTGACAACTTTTAGAGCCTTGCCGTGCCCTTTCAACGCCAACACCTCTCCCTTCTCCTTGGCCTCAACATCGTGTAGTGCACAGAACATCGCAATCAGGAGAGTGGCCTCATCATCCTCATCAGCCTGCGCTAAATGAGCCTGAGCCTTCTTTTCCTGCTTGTGATTTGGGCGCTCCTTTGTCCAATAACCCGTCTTCCCGCAGCGCCGGCAGGCATTGGGGTCGACCTTCTTCTTCTTCTTCTCCAAAGAAGCCTTGCCGTGGCGCTTGCCATCGCCACCGCGGCTGGAGGAGGCTTCCCCGGACTTCTTCATCTAGGCAACCCACTCCTCTGTCAGCAGCAGCTTGCTGCTGTCCGTCGTTGATGTGGCCTACTCCATGCATTCATCCACCGCCCGCAAATGGCCTGTCACATCCTCAATGGTGAGGGTGGACAAGTATAGCATCGTCTCTATGGAGAGAGCGATCTGGATGTACTTCACCGGCATGGAGTGGAGGTACTTAGAGACTGCCTCTTCTTCATCGACGGTGATGCCGTGGCCCCTCAGCTTGCTGATAAGCGACTGCAGACGGAGGGAAAAGTCCTCCACCAACTCACCATCCTTGAACTTGAGGGTGGCGTACTCCTACTTCAGCAGCTGGGCCGTCACCTTGTTTGCGCGGTCGGAGCCGACGCGCATCGCTGCAATGGCCTCCCACGCCTCCTTAGCAGAGTTCTTCGCCCCCAATAGCCTCCAACGCTGACATGTTGTCTTCTTCGTTGTTGGAGCCCTCATTCCAGAGCCGTCGGGCTCTGAGCTTGACCTTTATGGTCACCGCCCACTCGCCATAGTTGGTACAAGTCAGCGTCGGCCAACTGGTGCCGCTGACCTCCTGCACCGTGCGCATGACGACCTCCTGTCGTGGCTGGGTAGCCACAGCAGCGCCGCTGCTGTCGTCCATCTCCAAACCGTCCATCATCGCCAGCGGTTAGTCCAGCGACGACGCTTGTACGACTTTGATACCACTTGTTGGACCCTGGATCTTCCACACGGGTGAGCCGACCGCTCACCGGCGTTGCCAACCACACACTATGGCTAGAGGCAGAAGAAGGGAGGAAGAACAGAGTGCGCGTACATACAGCACAAGCACCAGCGTTGGCCGGAGCTCTGCAGAGGAGATGACAAAACTGAACTCGCTCTCTTTATTGAGTTGCAGTGGGAAACAATATATACAACTCTATCCATTTAATCCTAGTACATAGACATGTCAGGCTGCCATGCTGCTATAGTGACTAGATGTGACAGCAGAGCTGACTTTGGCGCCTGCCCCTGCTGTGGCTACAGTGCGCAGGGAAGCCTTTCGACGTCTACCCCTGCCCCGCGTTCACACGGTGGGAGAGCAGCAGATTACTTTACGTAGTACTAGTAAAAAGCAAGCCAAGTTGTTGAAAGGCCCATGTAAACTTCAGACTAGCCCTAGTAGCACATGTATGTAGCTGGGCTGCACGTACGATGATTCATACAATGTTGTCGCAGTGATGTAGTCACCCCAACTTAATTAATCTACTCATGAAACATGTACACCCCACCACCAGCACCGTTCAACAGCAAAGTCATCATCTCTTCCGACTTAAGCTAGCCCTACGTACTCCCTGTCACTCACGGAAAGCTAGCCAATAATTAGCCACTACCATCAGAGGCCCTCACATGCCCATGCAGTGCGAGCTCAGAGATTAGCAGGCTGGCCGCTGGTGGCATGCATGCCATGGCATATGGCGGACGCCATATATGCATGCATGTCCAGGACCTGACGACTCACGTGGCCAGTGAGGCTAGCTTATGCTGTGATGTACGTGCCGCCATGCAGACATGCAATGCAAGCTGATGATCGAAAGCACGGCCACGGCGCCACGGCGGCGGGTTATCATCATCAGCAGATCGATCGAAGAGTGGCTCTTGATCTGCGTGTACGTCGCGATCTGGACGACCACGCCGATCGATCGGACGGCTCGCGCTTCAATTCAGGACCAGATCGAGGGTGGCCGGGAGGACAGGGAGTGGATCCACCTAGCTAGAGACCGATCGACAAGAGGTAGTGAAGCCCTGGGCGCATCTACTGTGCCTCTGTCAGTTACTTTGGCGACATGGGTTCCAACCCCGGGCGGCCGTGACGAACAGCAGCAGCAGCGGCGGCAAAGTAAGGGTGTACAGTTAGAGACAACAGCTGGATCATCAGTTGCAGAGAGGGGTAGCCGGGCACGCATGGTGCTGATGCTGAATGCTACTGCCTACAGCAGGGTGCAGGCAGCAGCAGCCCCAAGCGATCCAGCATGCATGCATGCGGCCTGCAGCCGCGAGGGCCAGATCGAGGACCCATTCTCCTGGGGCGCCTAGTCTCCACATGCCACCCAGAGCCGTCCCAGACAACGAGGCCACAGGGTTCCGACAGGGTGAACAGTGGGATACATAGAACCCTACCATCGGTAGATGGTGGTTACTAACTAATCTGGATGCAAACTAGCTAAGCAATCAATTCAATAAAGCAGGCATTATGTTAGTTCCATATGCATGCATGCTAGCAACAGCTAACAGGGCTAGCTAACTAGTTAGTATTAATTAATTAGAAGCTACATGGCGGTGCTTGGTGTGTAGTATTAAGTTCTGCACAACAACAAATTCAGCAAAAATTTAAGCGGGTGGTCAGATCAAGAAAGCGAATGTGTCAAAAATGCTGTGAAGACATACATGGAGCGCCGGGTATGGCTAGCGCTAGCCTAGACCAGGCCCTTCCCCATCCTGGCATCATCCTGTTTTTTTTCCAAGCTCTTGCTCCACCAATGGATCGGAGGCAAAGGACGGAGCTCTGATAAGCGCCGCCGCACCTCATTTTTTACCCATACTCCACCATTGCATGGAGATTGGAGCATCACTGAAACAGTACAAAACTACTAGGCTGCTACTCTACACCACCGATTGTTGGAGGCAAAAGGAAAAAGGCTTCTTCATGAATTTAAGAGCTCTCCTTGGGCTCCTGGCTGCATGCTCCACCAATTCATTCTTAAGGCTTATTATTAGATGTTCTCATAATTCACACAAAAACTTTCAGTTAGACCCCCTTTTTTTGTGGGAAAAAATATAGGCACTCTTTTCTTGTGTACACACTTATAAAACCCCCTACAGTGTGAGTGTTCACCAAATATTTTGCATTGACACCAATACTCTTTATCTTTGTCGCACGGCTGGAAAAAATGTCCATGTTACCGCTAAGTTATGTGTGTGCATAGATAACAACACATCACAAGGAATGCTACGGCGCCAGATACATGTTTTCTGTGATTGGCAAATAATCATGTACTAGTAGTCTAGTACTAGGATACCTGCACTGCAACAGTCAGTAGTACTACGGCTACTTCCAAATCTGACAGCCAGAAAAATAACTCAAGAGTAATTCAGTTTAGTTAAGCATAATCACCTAACGAAAATGAGTCGATCTGGGCCTCCATGCTTCTGAAGAATTCGTCGGCTTCCTGGATTGGTCTTGTGAGCTCCTGTCTGTACCTTACCAACATGTGACAATAGATCTCCTGCACACACACACACACACACACACACACACACACACACACACACACACACACAACATGTAGATCCATTGTTTCAGCCAGATATACACAATCAGCAATTCCAGAAGTTAATATATACATATGCTGTTACCATGAACTGATCGAGCTCTGGGTCTGCTGGTCGTTGTTCTTGTCTGTCGTCTGAATTCATTTCGACCTCATTGGCGAGGGCGGAAAGCCGACCGACAATCTCCGGCGGCGCTCCAACCTCAAGTAACAAAAATACAAAGAGAATTTCCTCATGGAAGTTGGAGAGTATATGACGGAGAGCACAAAAAAAAAAAAATCAAGAAACCATGCTTTCTCTCTCACACACACACACGAAATTAGCTATAGAATTGTATATCTCGTGGAAATCTGCGCATACCTTCCGGCAATCTATGAAGGCTCTCAAGAGAGACGGATAGAGAGGGTGAGACATGATCTTGGCTTTGATTATTTCGGATCCCCTCTCGCTGTTGGACTGCCTAGAAGGATCTGAGACGGCCGAAGGCGGCGCCGGTGTTGGCGCCTCCGCCGGCGGTGAAGATAACGTGGCGGAAGCTCTGTGATCTAAGGCGAGGTAGAAGGGCGTCGTGGTGGCCGCCTTTGAGCCACCGGCAAGAGCAGGCAGCTGCTCGTCCATGCGTGCTGGCCGCCTAGCTATCTGGAGATATTTTATTGGTTGAGGAATGGAGGAGGCATTAGGGCAAGGAAAGGCTGTCTTATTGGTTTAATTTGCCTTCGATTCGATTCTGGTTCTGGATGAGAGAGCGAGAGAGAGAGAGAGAGAGAGAGAGAGAGAGAGAGTTACAGTAGCTGGATAGTCATAGCTCATGGGACACAAATTGAAGGGCCCAAATAATGGAACGGCTCGCTGTTGCCTGTTGGTCGAGCTGTCGCTGAAGAGAAGAAATAGTTGTACGATAGTACCGTCCCCGGAACAATCTTGTCAATTTTATTTATTTTTTCTCTGAACTAGCAAGGCCAAACCCGGAACAATGTGATCAACTTTCCGTTTTCTCTGAACTGGCAAGGCCACCCGTGTATATACATAGTAGCCGGTATATTGTTTGATTTTATGCATTTTATTGTTTTTCTTGCACTCTTCTCACTCGTCTTTTACTCACATGTCCTACTCTATACTCAATGCTTCATTAGCGTTTGTTGTCACCACAAGTAATTATGTTCACCGTGAGTGAGTGTGATGCAGTGGCAGAGCCAGACGCTTTTAGAGCCCAGACGAGTCTTATTATGCAAGAATATTTGGGCAATACTACGGTACCCTTCTTACTTCCTAGGAGATAATATTTGAAATAAATATGAGCTTTTGATTTTTTTTAGTTTTTAAATTAATTAATTAATTAAAAAGGAAGACTATTCTCAAATCCCTCTAATCATGCAAGACATGGGTGGGCATGCAGCCCCTTCCTTCTTGCGCATGGCTGCACCCTTTCTTTTGTGCGATTGTTGTCACGCCCTTTTTTTTCCCATGGCTAAACTAAAATGACAACTATCACTCTAATGCCATGATGCGTATAAATCTATCACATTATAAGGTTAAAATTGTTCACCAATAACAACAAGGTACCAAAAATAAATTTTTAGCGGCTTCATCATGTATAAAGCTTGATTAAAATTCAAAACTAGTCATATTTTATCTATCTTAAAGTTTCATATACCTACATAGTGTTTCATATACGTGCATGTAAGTTGGTGTGTGTGTGTGTGTGTGTATATATATATATATATATATATATATATGCACTTTATGTTACTTTCCTAAGTAACAAGTGCATCAAAAAATAATTAGTTTATTCTAACTAAATTATGTTATATCCAAAGTTGCTAAAATAAAAAGATTCATCATGTCTAATAGATCATGCATGCATCAATTAGATCTAAAAAAGATCTTTATATATAAAACTTTACTTATTTCAACTATTACCTCCTAGAAAATAACACATGATTCTAACCCTCCCATCTAATCAAATGAACGGCTCACAGTCATTTGAGGGTACAACAGCAAAGCCCAAAATATTTACCTAGAAAATATATTATTTCTCTATGATACATAGAAAATTTTCCTTTCTGCTTTGCTGACGAGACCGGGCGGGCCCAAGCTTGGTACAATGGCTCCATCAATGTTCCTTTTCGTTGTTACTAGATGTCAAAAGCATAGTTGACATTATAAAAAATTTATCTTTTGAAAAGTTTCTATGTTACTTTTTAATCTCAATTTTTAGAGGCGGCTCTATATAGAGCTGCCTTTATAAATGCATATTTAGAGACGGTAGAAATTTCTAGCTGCCCCTGATAATGCCACCTTTTTATAGAAGCGGTTGGTAGTACCAGCTGCCTCTAAAGATGATTTTGTAGAGATGGTTGGGTTAGGACCCTAGGTTTCTGATTGAGCTGTCACTACCCTAAAAACTTGGTGGCTCAACAAATTGATCATGTGGTAGTGTCTTCCATATTGAACTGCATTTACTTTTCTCTTATATTTGATATAAAAAACAATTTAAATTGTCTCCTTTTATGCAATATGAAGATTGATTCACTTAGCCAACAATAAAACAACTATTTTCTATGACAACATTTTTTGGTAATAAAAAATACATATAAGGATATTTTTGTTTTTTTAAAATGGCATGGATAATTTATCAACATGTAGAAGGACACTTTGATTTTATTTTCTTTGATTAATGTGCAATTTCTAGGCCTTCCGAATTAATGTGTGGATGCTTTTTTATGGCTAAATACTAAGATAATAGACTAATCTAGGCTACCTATTTTGGCAGAACCGTCTAATCTAATGCCTCCCAGGTGTACTTGTCTTCCATTAGACACTAAGTTTCCAAGAGAGGACATTAAACTACGCAGTTCCGTCGAGCACACCCAAGGGAGAACTCAAAAATCCACATTTTTCCATCAGATCATAAATGAGAGAATAAAGCTTATAACATTCTTAAGTCGTTTCTTACGTCACTTGATTACAGTACCAGAATATTACCTCAATTTATTATAACAGTGGAATATAACAATGCTACCAGAGTTACAGAGGAAGCATGATTAATTTAAGGACATGAAGGAGCATTAACATAGTGGATATTTTTATACAAGAGATGCTAGCAGATTTTACATCTTTTCTTATAAAAAGCTTTAGTGAGGGTTATAAATAAACACTATGGTCATATCGGGAAAGAAATTCTCTCTGAGCCCACTAGGAGGTTTCTACACACAAGAGTCAGCTCTACGTATCCTCCGGTTACCTGTAACAGGGAAAATAAAACCCTGAGTACTCGATTGTACTCAGCAAGACTTACCCGATAGGTGAAAAATAAAAGACTCCAAGGATATGCAAGGTTTATTTGGCTTGTGGGTTATTGCATCCGTGGAAACATTACTAAACGTGCATCCTTATATTTAATTTTATTAGCAGTCTTCATTAGTTCATTAACTAATCATTCTATGTAAGCACGTATGCTACTTTTAAGCAGGTGGTAAGCAATCAAAACCATTTTATCACCTTTCAAGTTTCAGTTCTTACTACGGTGCTAGACCATAGCCAAGTCGGTACCATCTCACAGAAACAGCGATTCGCGAACCAATGTATCCCACCTGGGTACCCCAAAACACACGCCCTGTTTGTACCCTAGGCACAAACAAGACCAACCCATTCAACTCCTGTCACGGGGTCCAGGTCCCCGTCCAAACTTGGACTCCAAGCCCCCACACTTGAGACCTGGTCTCAGTATGCTTAGACCTCCACCTTTCTTCGTCTCCAATCGATCGGTCCGAAAAGAGTCAGAACCCACGATAAGAGCGTAACGAGCCTTCCCGCTCCTATAAGTAAGTATGTGCTCAGGATAATAAGTCTGTGACCTGACTGCCATCCACAGTAATGGACGGTCCTCAATCGACACAGGCGGAATAAGTGCAATCCGAGCCTTGCTCGAATGCCTAACCAAGTCCAGATCTAAAGTACCATTCCGCCCGGTCTCCAATTATCATTCATATATATTCCATGTGACAGTAATATAATAACAACAATAATATCTTTCCTATCTCACATGAGTGATAGGTAATCACTCGACTTCTACCGGATCTATAGCATAGCAATCTACACGATCCTGACATACTAGTAGGACTCATAGGATAAGATATATATATATATATATATGCAAGTGGTTTTTATTCAACTCCTTAAAACTTAATGCACAAGCATAAGATAAAGTGTAGAATAATAGGGGTTTTGTACCGGGGCTTGCCTGAGTAAGATATAACCAAAAGTTCGCATTCTATCATAGTGACACGATCATCAAGGCATCATCTTTTCCGCTACTTCAGTCGACTCCATGATCCATCGTTGTTCCTATTATGATATACGTGGATACAACGCAGAGCTAACGAGCCAGATTTAATGAGTAACGTACTGGTATACGTATCCACGTCGTCAAGTAAGGCTTTGTCTTCAGAAAAATGTTCTAGTTTTAAAATCCCAAGGTGCTTTGTCATTTTATTGATTAAATATATTTTTGAACTAGGGCTCATTTAGCTACTTTAGCAAACTAATTATTATGGAGCTACAAAAATTTAAGTGAACACCTAGTAATGTTAGGAATTTTCTGTAAAAGTTTCAGAGCCAACACTATCACCAATTCCTCACAAAAATTCCTACAAGTTTATATCTTACAGTATTAAGCATCTTAAATTAATTAGATAACCCCTGGAAATATTATAAAACTATGTGAACAAAGTATACTAGCAGATAGATCACAATTTCAGAAACCTAACAAATTTTGTTTCATAATTTTTGGACACCTACATGATTTTAGATTAATTACACAAAATTGGTTCTTAAATAAAGATACAAAACTATTTCTAATTCTTTACTGAAAAGACGAACCAAACTAGCCCAACACGGTCCACATGGGGCGTGGCCCACGTGCGGAGACAGCCCATGGCGGGGAGCCCACGCGCGCTGGCATTTTAGCGAAAACGCCCCCGAGCTTCCCACTATTCTCGTAGCCACTATTCGTCCTATTTACTCAGTCAGAACTTATGCTCGAAAGACCCTGAGAGAAGCTGTCTTCGCATCGAGGAGGTCCCCGTGACCCTCGCGCTCGCCAGCGCGGAGTGGACCGGTACGGCCCCGTTACGCCAGCCAACCGGGACCCTTGCAGACCTAGATATGGGACCGATGTTCACCTATGGGCCGATGTGCGATGATGGGCGGTGGTTGCACGAACGGAGGTGAAGCAGAGCGGGCTCTCGCCGACGGCGGGTGACCTACGGCGACGACAACTGCGTTCCAGTGAGCCACAACATGCAACATATAATAGAAGTGACGGGTAAGCATCAGTGACGTACCACGATCCTACTCATGACGGTGGCTTGGCCGAAGACACCCTGAGCAAGTCTGGCCGCGTGCGCGCAGCGAGCTCGACAGTGAACCACAGCGACATGGCCGTGTCAGCGGCATGGAGGCGGCTATAGGGCTGCGACTTGGGTACGCACGACGAAGAGGGGTTCTAGGTGGGGCTAGTGGTGCGGGCAATTCGATGCGAGATGGAGAGGTTGGAGCTGGCCACGGTGAGGTGGGCTGGGCCTTAATGGTGCGGTGGCGGGAGCAAAGCTCCAAAT